TCTATAAATAAGTTTCCAAGAGCACAATTAAGTTTTCTGGGATTCCCATTCATCTTAATGTTAGTCATAATTTATTATGATTCATATTGTCAAATGTCTTCACATAGTTAATAAGACAAATGTAAACATCTTTCTGGTATTCTCTGCTTTCAGCCAAAATCCATCTGAAATCAGCAGTGACATCCCTCATGCCATGGTCTCTTCTGGATCATGCTTGCATTTCTGGCAATTCCCTGTTGATGTACTATTCCAGTTATTTTTTAAAAAATCTTCCTTAAGAGTTTAATTACATAGATGTATACAGAATGCAAATACAAAAGCAGGTGGTTCAACCCCATCAGTTGCTGCTCAGAAGAAAAATCAGCGATACCTTCTTGTGTAACTTATAGGCTCTGAAAATTCACTGGTGAATTGGTTATAAGTGGGTTCCGACTCAACAGCAAGAAACAACAACAGTCTATAGAAACTAGGCAAAGTGATTAGAGGACAACTTATCAAATTATTAATACTATAGGGTCGCTATGAGTCGCAGGCAACTCGACGGCACATAACAACAACAACAACAACATTGATGAGATTATAAATAATTTTAAATTTCTTTTTGATCTTTTAAAATTTAATTCCTTTAGGAAAAATCTTTATTAAGAAGCATAAAATATTAAAATAAATGGTGATACAGAATAAAGATTCTAATTCTTTCTATGCTTATTATATATTATAATTGCTCAAAATAATATCTTAATGTAGGCAAAATACTTTAATATTTTAGTATTAAACGTACAAAATGAAATATTTACAATTAAAACTATGGATACATAAAACTACTATCATTACATTGGATTACATAAAATAGTGGAAACATAGGGAGCTCTGGTGGCCTAGAGGCAAGAAGTTGTGCTACAATCCAAGAGGCAAATGGTTCAAATCACCAGCTGCTCCGTGTAGAGAAGGCTGGACAATCTCCTCCCGTGCAATTAATTGCCTCTGAAAAATCACTGCAGGGTCAGCTGTGGGCCATTCTGACTCGATGGTACAAAACAACAAATGAGAATAGTTTTTCTTTTTCCCCCCATGTATTAAAAATTTACCCTAACATGTATTTTTACCTATGTAACCTGTTTAAAAGAATAGCTTATCACATTTTATAACATTTAAATACATAATCACAGAATGGAATCAGATATGATTTTTTCTTTTTGCATATATGACTGTTCTCCAAATTCAATATACAAATAAAAACACATATTACTGCTAAATTTAGAGGAAGAAAAACATCATTTTTCAAAATTGTAACGTCTATTCTCTCACTATGGTAGGAGTCAGCCAACACCTCACTGCTCCAATTTAAATGTGTTTTCTCTTGTATGGTTTACAGAGACAATGGGGAAACGTTTCAGTTTTCAAATAACAGGTGTTCTGACATGTTATCTTTGTGGGAGGAGTGAAAAATGGGTTAGCCTAAAATTTAGCCTTCCTGAATTGCTTTATTTGAAGTAAAGATATTAGTTTCTATCTGTAACTTACTATGCCAGAGTGAAAAGAGCTTTTTGAGGAATGCAAACTGCATTTATAACAGCAAAATAATCGGATTAATGAAAAGGATTTAAATTACTGTATTTCTTCAGAAGAAATAGTCTACTGTGCTATTGTATTATATGCTGCTGAGTCATAACTGATTCATGGTTAACCCTCCAGTGGGTTTTCAGAGGCTATAAATTGTTCAGGGGACTGCCATCCTTCCACCATAGAGCAGCTGGTGGATAAGAACCATGTGCCTTCAGGATTGTAGTGCAGCTCATAACTACTAGGCTAACAGAGCTCCTGACTCTACTATAAATGTATTTTTATATATACAGTTATATAAAGAAGATAATCTCTACATCCAACTCTATATCCATCTAATACCCTTAGAAAAAACCCCCACCTGAAGTTGTGCTTTTATCTTTTCATACTACTATAAATTATATATGTGTTCATAAATGATACATAATATGACTGCATAATACGCTGTTGTTAGGTGCACTGATTGTGACTCATAGTAACGCTTGAAGACGATCATAAGCTTGTCCTATATTGTACCATCCTCACAAATCTCTGCCATGCTCAAGCTTACTACTGTCACTGTTTCAAGGCCCCACACACTGGGGGTCTTCCGTTCAAAGTTTTGCTGAGTCTCTTTCTAAGCCTGGTATCTTTTCCCACATCATGCCCAAAGTTTATGAGTCAAGTTTCACCATGCTTGCCTCTAAGAAGCAGTATGGATTCACTTCCTTCAAGACAGATTTGTTTGTCCATGGTATAGTCAATAATACTTGACAAAATCACAACTCAGTGGAATCAATTCTTTGGTCTTCTTTATTCTTTATCCTAATGTCAAATGTATTCAAAATACTTGAAAGTACCATGGTTTCAGTGTGGTGGTAGTTGTTTTTGTTGGGTGCTACAGAGTTGAGTACAACTCATAGCAACCCAATGAACAATAGATCTGAACTCTGTCCTATCCTGTGCCATCTTCACAATCTCTAACACAATCAGACCCACTGCTGTAGTCACTGTGTCAATCCACCTGGTTGAGGGTCTTGCTCTCTTCACTGTCCCTCCACCTTCCTAAGAATGTCCTTCTTCCAAGGAATAGCTCTCCTACCAACATGCCCAAAGGATGTGAGATGAAGCTTTGTTTTGTTTACCTCCAAGGAGCACTCTGGCTGCACCTTTCCAAGACATATCGGTTAATCCTTTTATCAGTCCGTGGAATATTCAATATTCTCTCCACCACTGAAGATCAAAGCATCAATTCTTCTGTCATCCTTATTCATTGTCTAGCTCTCAGATGCATAGTAAGTGACTGAAAAGACCATGACCTGAATCAGGCACACTTTTTGTCATATTCCCCAATTCCGAATTGTTTAAATTTAAAATTATATATATAATCAGGCAATTTTATACTTTATTTCCTGGTTCTGATTTTAAGTCTTGGTTAAAGAACTTCCCCTACTCTTAATTTGTAGATGTAATCTCTTTCATTTTCTTATGTCTTTCTTTATCACAATTTTTTTAATTTTACTTAGGAGTTATTTTTCAACATAATTTAATTAAAAGTGTATTTTATTCATGAAAATGGTACCAATACCACTTATTTAATAATACATTTTCCCCCCAATGAGTTAAAATAACTTTGTAATCTCCTCATTTTAATTTGGAAATTATACATTTGTCAAATTTGCTCCTAAATAAAGAGATTTAAGGTGCTTCTGTAGATTGATATCCCCCTCCCCCTACTGTGTTCTCTGGGTACTTATTATTTGAGTAGATTTGTGGGGTTTTTTAAATTTTGGTTTTTTAATGTTTATCAATTATCACATCAGTTTTAAAGGACTCTTTACTTTAATCAATCACTATTTATGGTTTGACAGGGGATCTATAACAATGGGCTGGAGTATGGCAGAGATTGTAAGGGTGGCAAGGATAGGGCAATGTTCTGATCTCTTTCATAGTGTTGCTATGAGATGCACTTGAATAACCTAACATCTGTCAATCTGCTATATTATGATAACTTGTGTGTTGATATAAACCTGAAAATTATGTTGTTAGTACTTCACATCAAAGCAGTTAACATTCATGATTGAAGGTTTCATCAGCGCTTCCAAACTAAGGTAGAGTAGAAAGAAAGGCCTAACAATACACTTCCTAAAAATTAGGCACTGCTACTAACACGATAATAATGTTGTGCACCATCAAGTCACACCCAACCCATACGTGACCCTCCAGTGGGTTTTCTGAGGCAGTTAGTTGCAAAGAAGGAGATTGCCCATCCTTCTCCCGCAACAAGATAAGAATACTTTATGTAATTTCAGGTCAAAAGTAAATTCATAAAATATTTCACAAACAGGGATGCCACAGTACAAGATGTTAAAATATATATATGCTAAAACTGCATTACAGAATGAAAAGGAATAATTTAAAAAATTGTCTTATTTAAAAAGCATAGGGGGAAAAAGACATGATATATTTCAAGAATTCTCTAAACTTCTTAATTTTGCAAAGAAAAGCCTATGTACATTTATTCATATGCTTATTGGGAATATCAATCACAACCATCTTTGTAGATTTATAAAGAGGCTAAGAACTGAAGGAGGTTGAAAATTCTAGATAGCAATTACATTATTTGATTCCAAGTCTCTGATTGAACCTTTCCAAGGTCACACTTTGAGACTTCAACAAGGATACCATTTCAGACACCTACAGTAGTGAAAACTCCAGTTTACATCAAGATACTTTTACCTCTGAGACTTTCATCTATTTTCCTGGTTCTGTCAATGAAGCATAAAATATCATCTCAAAACACATCCTTTTCACATATTTAGATATGACCATTTAGTCATAATATACTATTCTTGCTAAGAATGATGGTTTTTAACTACACAGAATTTGAACTGAACTCCTTCATTCAATTTTCTCTTAAAAAAACACATTTTTACCACTCATTAACATATTATTTTTATATTCTACACTGAGAAATCCCTAATTCAAACCAGTTAAACTGACAGGGAGATCACTGTCAAAGTATATGTGAATTTCAGAAAGAATACAGAGAAAAATATATTAATTATATTGACATAGGTGAGGTCTGTAGAATTTGTACATATTCAATGGAATTCATGGAAATGGTACCTCATAAAATGAATAATTATTCTTTATTATTAGCCATTTTTCAAAATATTATTCATAGATGAATTTAAATACATTTTCAAGGGTGCAGTCAGAGGCAGTTATTATTTTTATAGATTCAGAAAAGATAATCACAGTAATACCAATTTTTAAGGGGCAAAAGAACCACCATATATATTAATTCTTAAGGAAAAAGCGGGCGAGGGGATAATATATAATGGAGTAAGGTACAGGACCATACAAAGGAGAACTAAATTCAAACCAAAATTCAAACAAAATCAAAGTGATCTTTAAAACTTAGCACTAAAATGAAAAATTAGAATAATACTTACGGATATAATGCTGAGAGTTTTTTAGCTATTGCATAAGCTGTTGGGTCTCTGTCGAGGGCATAGAGAATAATATCTGGCTCCTTGCACAGAATGGCTTTTGTGTGTCCTCCTGAACCAAATGTCATATCTAGAAAAATCTAGTCAACAAAAGGAAACTATCACTTAATATGAACAGACCGTATTCTTACCAAGTACGTACGTTAATTTTTAGAATCACAAAATAAACTTCAAAGTTAATAGCAAATAAAAAAACAATTGCCATCTTTTTCCTAGAGTTCAATGATTTCAACAAAGAGTTCAACAACCAGCTCAATGAAAAGTGATTGGTAGAACATAACTAGCCAGGGTATTGTTAAGATGACAATTATTGATATCAGGTCACAAATAAGAAACAACTTGAAGTTTTACTCCTTAAAGTTAATAAGACCACAATGTCATATTGATAGATTTTAATTCTTTCCAGTAGTTGGCTGGTAATAACACGTTCAACGACTTCTTATCACTT